CACTTTGAAAAAAATAATTTTTTTTCAAAGTGCGTTAATATCGACCATATTAACGCACTTTGAAAAAAATGTAAAGATTGATCAATATTCCTTCAAATAATCGGTATGATAAAAAACAGATTCTGGTTTGATAATTTTTTCATGATAAAGTCACAGTAGGACCTGAGATATTGACGTTATAAATATTTAAGGTTTTGATAAAATAAAAGGGAAAATTAAAGGGTCTTGAAAAAAAGAGTGACGATTGTTTAAGTTCATTAATTCGTTTCTTCTTTTTTGTTTTTAAATCTAGTCTTTGATAAGTAGATGTAAAGGTGTATAGGGGGCACTAACAGAGGACAGCTTCAAGCAACTTAGCATTTATCATAATAAAAAGGGGCCAATTTGATTGTTCAAAACTATGAAAATTCTTTCTCTCTCATACGTTTTACTCTACTTAAAAATTTCTTGTTTTCATCTGTTTTTATCAACTCATTTATTATTGAAAGTTTTCAAAGTCATACCAGTTAGGTAAATACATAATTATATGAATGCTTTGAGTATAGCATAGACATCGAGACTGGGCGAAGGGCCAGGGGAGGGGATGGGGGGCTAAGCCCCCCACTTATTTTGGAAAGATATATACATCGTATAAGCATTGAAAATGCAGCGTACCCTTTTTAGGTTTACTGCTCCCCTCCCCCGTTTGTTACCGACACCTATGTATTGGAAAGATAAAGATTTGGACTGAGGGATCTTATACCCGTCTTCTCCTCTTTTCGACAGAAATAAATCAATTCATTTTTGAGGATAGGGTTAGGCTTAGTTTTTTGAAAGATAAATAAGTAAAATAACAAATAAAATCTTTCCATGACTAAAATATGATTTTTGTTCAAAGTGCGTTAAGTGTCTCCATGGTAAAATATATTGATGTAGAATCTTAACGCACTTTGAAAAAATTTTTCAAAGTGCGTTGAGTTGGTCCCAAATTTAACGCACTTTGAAAAATTTTTTCAAAGTGCGTTGATATTGTCCCAATTTTAACGCACTTTGAAAAAAAATTTTCAAAGTGCGTAATTTTTTCAAAGTGCGTTGCCACAATGCACTATACCTTATGTTGTTTGTGAGGGTGGATGCAAGGCGTACAAGACACAGACTCTCTGAGACCAAAAAAAAAATCTTTTTCCTCTTTTTATATACAGTAAACATGACATTTTTAAAACGTGTTAATTTCAGCGAATTTTTATTTTAATTTTAATGAGAGTATTCAGACACACCTAGAAAAGCACATAAGTTAATACACAAAATACGCCATCCTGAAACCAAGCGCCTATGACGCCTATGATACATCTCACTGAACTCAGAGTAATAGCTAGACCCTACAGCGACTGTCCCATCTGTTCCATATGTGGATGTTTTACTAACTGTAAACGATAATTAATGCCCAACTAATTACTAAACCGAAAGACAAACGGTATGACTGAAGTTTTCATCATCATTTTTTCTTTTTTATGTAGCAACATTCCAATATCACCTACATAGGAAGTTCATGTCTACCATCTGATCTGATACACAAGAACGTGTGCTGATTGTCATCAATTTTTAAACCCCAGGCAACCTACTGACAAATAAGTTAATATTACATTTAATTAAACAATAATGTTTAAAAATAGCTTTTTGCAAATTCTAGGGTCATATAATGACTTGTCAGTATATATAGCCTATCTCTGCCTCGTATTTTGTCTGACATGTTTCAAATCATTTTACATCATTGCTTTTATTCTAAATTTGACTGCCGGGTACATGTACTTCGTCTTCTTGGTACATAGGGCATACAGCGGGTATGAACAGTGTAGTGTATAGTTACTTCTGCTAGGTACTTATTCCATCTTCGCTGCGGTTTCAAGGGTTCCGTATTTTTGCCCTGTTTATGATTCTTTTTGTTTGCCATATTTATGGGATTCATCACTGTTCCTAATTAGGGCTCATAACAAGTGTTTGTCCGATTGTCCGTGATCAGTTTATTTTGTGATCCGACTAGTCAATCTTTAGACACACTTTGATACTCTCCTACCTGTACGGGATAGCGTGAATATGATTTTGTTTTCATCCTAAATAATTCTATTACCACTGGCACTTTATGGTTCAGTTTCATATCGTTGACTGACAAGGACGACATCTAATGACTCTAGGTTCAGGCGGTGCTACTATTTTTACATTAGTTAGGCTCCATTTTTTTTAAATACCTAACAATTCTCTCTTAAATATTATCTAAAAATATAATTCCTTCCTGCAAATTTCTGCACACTTGTGCGTCGGACAAGTTAACAAGTAGTACGGACAAGTAATATTTCTTGGTAACCAGTCCCACAACAAGCGGTGTTTTAGTTCATTTTAAACCCTAATGCTTTCCCTTTTTTACCGTTGGAGATGTATACTAAAAAGCTCTTTTCTCTGAAAACAGATGCAAGAAGTGAAAGTAGCGTTATTATGATGTTTATTTGAATATGTTCAATATTTAAAAAATCTGAAAATACATATATATATAGGTTTTTAAAAAACATAATTAAAACATTATACACAAGATATACGTTATACACTATAAATACTTTTATAATAATTGAATTCACCAGTGATATAAAAAGAGGTATTTCTTTGCACAACAGAGTTTGGCTTTTGATTTTCAATGCCCTACAACATCACAGCTCGGATTTCAAAGATTTTTTATACAACCAAAGAGAATGATATATTAGCGGTTTCTGTTTATATTCCTTCTTTAGGGTGCTAACTGCTATCCAGAGAGACTGGATGTATCGACAAATTGCCATCATTTTCACCAAGAGATTCGGTCATGTTTAACAGCAATAAGAAATGGCACTTCTTCTATCCAAAAATTAGGGCCCAATATCATTAGATTCCTCAATATTAATATCATTTTTTTTTCTAAGATTTAAAATTAATTCCTATTTTAAATATCACCTTTCAAAGTATCCTTTTTTAAAAGAGGTTTGGAAATTCCAAATTATGATTGTCTGTAAAAACAAAGACACAATACAATTTTTAGGCGATAATCCATATAAGTCTTCAGGGCTTTTTGGATTCTGAATTTTGTCGGAACACATTTTTCAGCGTTAGATTAAATGTGGGGGAAGCTGAGTTTTGTCTGGACAAGCTTTTTGGTGTTTGTGCCGGTTTTGTCGGCAGTTTATACGTTTTCATGAAGACTTTGTCCCGAGTTTCATCGGGCAAAATACCCAGAAAGTTTGCTCTTAAGTCCGACATCCAATAAGGAACATAACGATGTTTTGGACTGGCAGATGTAACGGCCTCTTCCATTTGTTTAACAACCTCCCCGACGTTACTACGTGCACGCCTCATGTGCGTTGAAATACTTTTACAGAATGCATCGAAGTATTCCTCTCCGTATACCTCCTTGACCTCGGATGGAGTTTCAGCCCATGACTTCCGGTTGGCGTTAATAAGGTAATCCGATTCAACAATGGGTGTCCTAAAGAAAGATGTAAATTTTTACGTGTGGCTAGAACATAAGCAGTTGAAGTAGGAATTTACGGCTTCTGAATTTCGCAGTTCAATGACACAGAGTAATGCGCTTCATTGTACATGTATGTATAGGCAAACTTAGCAGTTCAACATTGAATTGTAATTTAAATGGTTATTTATTTAATTAAAAGTATATTCATTGGTAATTTATGATTGTGAAAGTTAACAAATATTTTTGGTTGTCATGCAATACAAAAATATCACAAACTACGTTACCTATACAATCCTGGTTCTATAGTAATGACCTTGACACCAAACTTTGCCATTTCCTGTCGTAATCCATCGGAGAAGGCAATGCATGCTTTCTTGGACATAGAATAGGCAGCAAATGCTGGGACGGTGAAACGACCTAGAAAATAGTAATTGCGAGGCTAAGGCATTTATTTTTCACATGTACTTATTTGTATATTGCTGGAACATGCATTAAAAGTTTGCAGTGTAGACGTGCAGATTTTGTACAAAGTTAATTACATGACACGAATGACTATCTACACTTACATACACACAGTCACTGATGATTGACATTTTGTTCAAGTCATTAGCTATAGAAAAGGGCAGTAATAGAACCATTTTACCAATTGTAACATGCCAATTTCACTTTTTTCATAACGTTTGAATTGAGTCATGTTTGAGTTGTTTGCTCGATAGTGTAGGTCTATAGTATGATATTCCGCACAAATGATACCGAAAGTCAAATAAAAACCCGAAACAACTAAATGCGTCATCGAAAGATATTTCAGTTTCATTTTTTCTTCCGAAATATTATTTTAGGAGCGCACTGAAAAAGATTATTTTTCTTACCAGCCAGACTAGCTACGTTAATAACTCGCCCCTCTCCATCGCGAAGAAGCGGCAAAAACGCTTTTGTAACCCTGACAACACCAATGACGTTGACGTCCATTATTTGCTGAAACTGCGTGACAGAGCACCATTCTATCTCTTGAAATGTTGCTATACCAGCGTTGTTAACCAGTGCCCACAAAACTGTGAAAAAGAGAGAAAGAAACAAAAGTAAATAGACAGCAAAGTGAATTTTAATGAAATATTTACTTGTGAAATTCCTTTGATAAAAACCTGGCTGTACTAGAAAAAAAATGTTAACATATTTTGACAATTTGTGTGCGCTTAATTTGTTTGAATTTTTAATTTACTCCATTATTTGTTCGTCCTATTGATTTCCCTCTGTTTAAGGACCAATTCAAACAAAAATGTAATAAAAACGGTTCTGAATTGCAGTCATAATGATTGGTAAATACCGAAATCTCTACACAATAGCCAGATGACTTTATCAATAGCTAGAGGCAACAAGTTTGGCATGCAGTCTATGTTTTGCAGGCTGTAATTGAAAAATGTTTTTGAAAAATCTGGCAATTAACTGCACCGAAATCGTGCAAATAGATATCCCAGACTCTCACTGTAGTGCGTAGCTTTGCTATCTTGACTAATTTAACGATTCAACGAAGATGTCTATTTGAAAATGGTGCTTTTTCTGGAGAAAAAATCTAAGCTTATTCCTCTGCAAGTATAGTTGTTGAAAAAGTTTTTACTTTCAGATTAAATGCTTTAATTTGAAAAATCCGTGCACCATTATGAACACATATTAATCTCTTTTTACTACTGATAAATGATTCTTGTAATTAACGATGAAGTTAATCAATCGCAGATGACTTTTTCCATGTTTTTCGTTTACTATTTATATCAAGGTACCTCATAAGAATCGATCGTATTTCAAATTTACGATGCAAACACATATACATTAGGTAGAGGTTAATGTAGCAGAAAGATAAAACGTCAGTTTAAGAAATTTATAAGTTTAAAACTCTCCTTTCTTGCTTATAATCTGATCGGCCTTTATGTAACTTGTTATTGACTGACTGTTTGAGGTGTCCCTTTGAAGGCTTTACCTTTCCCGTTTAGATTTTCTTTGATGGTCTGCACGGCTTTTTGCACTTGCCAATCATCCGTGACGTCCAGTTGCACAACATGTATGTTATTGGAACTTTCTTTCAAGCTCCGTGCACCCTCACGATCCAAAAACAGACAACCAGCAAAAACGGTGAATCCTCTTTTGGCCAAGTTCAGAGCCAAACTGTGGCCGAAACCACTGTCACAACCTTGCAAAACGTAATATTTAAAAGCTTTACTTTATAATATACCCCAGAGATGAATATAATATCGTTCAACAGAGTAAAAACATATTTTTAAAAGGTTTTGCATGAAAGAAAACATTTAAAGGGTGACTGAGCGCAATGATCTATAGGTTAAGTCAGTTTCGTCTGAATTAAAGCAGGAAGAAACATTCTGGTCAATCACTTGTAGTTAAGTAAGGAAAAAATTCTTATCTTGGAGACGAAAGCATTTCATACATAAATTTACGACATACCTCTATGAACTTCTTACCATACGAAATAAACACATGAAGTAAATAAAAAATTTGCCAAATCTCGAGCGCACCTGTGTGAAATTTCGCGACATAAAAAAGATTAAGCCAGTCATAAAATAATCAATCCAAATACATTCAATATTTACTCAATATGAAAATATTTACCTGTGATAAGAACGGCCTTATCCTGTGGAGAAACGGTACCCGAGGACACGGGTATGAAAACGAAAGCCAGACCCAAACAAAGTGCACATAACAAATTCCAAAATGATAAGTTCTCTTGAAGAAACACAAATAATGGATAGCATAGTCTAGTCAGTAAAATAAATAAAACAGAAACTATGATATAATATCCAAGTTTTCGTCTGGTCGACATTTTTCTATCTCCTGAATACTATATATCGCCGAGGTTTTATGACAGCACAGTTCAAAGGGTACCTGCTCCAAGTTCTTTCAACATGCAAGCATTGATCTAGTAGCTCCACTATTTGGGTCAGGTTTGTTGTGTTAGTATATATATATGCACGCTTTCCTTTACCTAGATCCACATGGATCAAAAAGAGCACACTGTCACATAAACACCTTTGTGGTTTCACAAACAATACTAACCCACTTAGGACATGTGTGAGATACGGGGTTTATCTGATTACTCCCACTACGACTTCCTTTCTCGGGAATTTAACTCCCGGGTTTTTTTTCATTCAGACACTTATATTAATTATAAGCCAGTGGTCAAATAAAAACAGTGTGTATTTGCGTAACGAAATCTCGCACCCAAATAAGATATATTCCTTTCGTTCAAGCGATTAATATAAACACCAAACTTGGTTTTCGACCAACCTTTTAAAAATCCCAAAACATCGTCACCAATTGTTTGTCTAATGTTCAATAGTAAATCCCGAGGAGCGTTGATGACATAAATATGTTTTTCATTAAATGTCTGGATGAGAGAATAAAGATATTTATTTTTCTTATGCATGTAAATGGATCTTATCTTTACTGAGAACAGCGTAAATAAGCAGAACCCTAAGTACAATATTCTTTAATGCGAAATGCACCTTTGAATGCATCTAGTCTTGAGTGATTGCATCAAATAATCCTTAGCTATATATCTATGTGATGATTACCTTCAGTATCATTTTTTAAATAATTCAGACTACAAATAGCACTGTGCATGTATATAATTGAAAAAGAAAAGAAGCGCAAATTTGAAAGTTTTTTCCATGTTAAAACGAATGTGTAAGGCGGTATAAGGCCAAAGACCTCAAGAATGTGCTGACGGTTAAAGAATTTTCCGAATGTTCTTAATTTTTTACGGTTTTTCAACTGATTTAAGACACTTAAGATGAAGCGCGTTAGTCGGAGAATATATGTTTCCTTCATAATATGAGTTCAATACTCACAGTAATTCAACTGAAAACTTTGCTTGCTTTTACTGGATGCTCTATGAAACAAAAAAAGTCGAAAATTCCAGAATAATAATGGAATTCTAGAATAGAAAAAAAAATTAAATCGTCCTCTAGTTTTTTTTTTATCTCCTATCACTCAAAACCAATAATCAATATGAAACCGAAATAAAAATCGATTAGAACGGAAATATTTGCATTGTCCTGAGATATTAATGGGGACAAAAGATGCCCTGAGTTTGCTTTGTTCTTTATTATCCCCCCCCCTCTCTCTCTCTTTCTATGTTTCCATTATCCTACAGGTCGTCATTTTTTTGTAAAATACCAGTTGTCTGATTACATGTCCAAATGAATGAATAAGTGCGCTACAGAATGGGTGAATTTATTTAATTCTCTGTTGCCTTTTTAAATTCGGTTTCAATATCTCCCCACTTGTGAGTACTAGTGCCCCAGGAAAGTGCAGGTTTACTCCAGAATCCCCAGGACTAGTGCAATATGCCTTTGGGTTAGTGCAGTATGCTTTAGTGCGCAAAATTCCAAACAAATCCTTCTCTATTTTACTTTCGCTTGTACGTGCTTCCACACACTTCATAATGATTTGTTTCAAGTGTAACTCTGCAGCATGATGAAATATGTGTATGAATATGGAAGTTAATTTTGATATTATGCTTTGAAAGAGAGAGAGAGAGAGAGAATACTTTAATGACTCTATTGTAGTTCTAATTCATTATACATGTATGTATCACAGCAGCTTAATACTTAAAGCTTGTTGATAGTATCTATGATTGTGGCATGAATGCACGATCAAGTGTGCTACTTCAAAGTTTGAATGGGAATTTTTTGGAAGCCTCTGCTCACTTACGCAAGAAATACTAGTAGTTATGGAATTCATGAAATTTTTCCGTATGGGTTTTACTTAGAGGGAAGTACACAATCATCACACCTTTCAAAGAAATGCAAAGCGAGTTTTGTGTTGAATTTTAAATCTTTACGTTTTTATGAACATATACCGGGTACATTGAGAAGTTGAGAATTTTCTTGGCTAACATATGACAGACAAGTTGCACTTGATCAAGTTCTAAATGAAATATATGGAGACAACAAAGAGTATTCAAGCTCAAACGTCCTTAAACAATACAAAATAGGAGCAGAGCAATCAAAACGGACTTCTAAAACATCAGAGGTGGGATCAGGTGACATGGAGGAGTGAGCATCCATGCCGAATGGTCACATCCGCCGTGTGCTCCTTGTCATGATCCGGAAATAACGGAAAAGTCCTATATTCAATAGTTATACATCTAAGCCTTATGCCTCGCCTGGTGTATTTTAAACAACAAACAGCGAGAATGTAGTTCTGTCACATTTCCTTATTGGTAATTTATCTTGATCAAAGACGTTTACAAATGTTGATATTTACATGTACATTTAAAGTTGTAGCTGTGGTATCTCTATTTGTAATGTTATTGTAGTTCTTACAGGTATATCTACCTTTAATTTTGCTGCTAGTGCTACTATAGATGCATTTTGATATTTATTTGTAATTTTAATAAATCTATTTCTCTACATTTGATTTATGAATGTTATGTTGCTGAATCTAAAGGTGTAATTTTTTAAAAAAGAAATATGGAGGTAATGAATAGTATTCAAGCTCAAAACTCCATTACAGAAATATTAATAAGGAACAGAGCAAACTCAGGCGTCTGTAACATCAGAGGTGGGACCAGGTGTCATGGAAAAAGAAATATCCCCTGTCAAATGGTCACACCCGCCGTGTGCTCCTGGTCATGATCGGGAAATAACAAGAAAATCAGAAGACAATTTAGTGTGTAAATAATGGTCAAATAATTGATATACAAAATGTCAATCATTTGACTTGATGTTAGAGTGTTCATGCTGACAAGGTCGTTTTTTCGACCATAGAATTAGCGACATGATGACTTTAAACGAAGCTATTGATTTAATTTCTTTGGTTTGTTAACTTGCTTTTCAATAGCTTGCTACTCTGTATGTGATAGTTATAGAGGTATCACACTTTTGTCAGAGTGTCAAGAAAAGTATTCTTTATAATAGTGATACAAAGGATCCAAGATGAAGTGAAAAAGAAGAGGAAGAAGCTTGCTTTAGCTGTTTAGAAGAGTGGGGAGCACAAGGAACACTCCCTAACATCATAGAACATGTACCGAATGGAACTCGACATTATTTGTAAACTAAGTTGAATTTGAAAAGGCATTTGATTCCATTGATATACAGAGCCTTGGTCTATCCTGAAGCATTTTGGGATCACAGATAAACCGGTCAGAGTGGTGAATCTCCTATAAAATTCCTATGTACAGTCTGTTAAGATGAAGTAGAATCTGAACTGGTTCGGGGTAACAACAGGACCGCAGGTCTGCACAATGTCTGGATTTTGATTTTTGTTGGTGATAACTTTCATAGTTAGAAGAACTACAGGAACAGAACCAAGAGAAATTTCACAACAAAACTTGGGAATCTAGACTTCACAGATGATCTTGCTATGCATTCCTCAAAATTTCGGGACATCCAAAAAAAAAAGACACAAAAACTAAATGAAATTGCTAGACAGGGTGGACTCAAAATAAACATCGAGAAAACCAAAGTGTTAGTGATGAGGCTAAACTCTGACATAATATAGCCAGTCAAGATCGATGGACATAGTACAAGACCTGGAGGGCGTGGAAACATTTACAGTGTACTAACCATGGCAGTGTGATAACAACAAAGGGAGGATCTGATGAGGACATTACCAACAGACTGGGAAAAGCTAAATTCCTATTTGGAAGGCTTTGAAAAATCTGGAATTCTAATATATGGAAGTCAGACATAGGAAGTCAGACATAGAATCCGGAGTTCTAATATATGGAAGTCAGACATAGAAAACAACAGAGCGAGACCAAAAAAAAAGAGAAGATTTTCACCTTCCAGTATAGATACTTAAAAAGTCCTGAGAGGAAGATACACTGTAGCGTGATAAAATATCAAACGAAGAACTCAAACATAGAATAAAACAACCATCTAGAGCGAGTGAAACAATAACTCTCAGGAAGTGGAACTGGATTGGCCATAAATTTAGGATGGAACACAGCAGGATCTGTACTACTGCAATGACGTGGTACCCAGAAGAAAAGAGGAAAGTACACTGGCCTAAAATAACCTGAAGAAAAACAACGAAATAAGAAAGGATACAGCTTTATTGTGGGGAATATGGTTGTATATAAAGTATAAAAGTCGTAAGTTTTTACGTGTTGATTTTGGTAAGATTTGTGATTTCAGATTTTCCAATATTCCTTGGAATTTTTAAGTATCCGCATCTGAGTTACACCAGTTCTCGAATACACACAGATGTACATTGTTGCACAGTACTCCTGAAGTTTCTCCTTCAAACCTTTTTATTAGGACACGAAGTATAAAGTGATAATAGGAATCAGGGCCCAATCCCATGATTATAAAAATTGAATTGACTTCAAAATATCTTTTAAACCGAGGAAACCATTTTGAACTTTTATGAAAATTTGCATAAAACGCCGAAACCGTTTATACATAAAATATCACGTGAACATACAGTTTCATCATCATAACACAACCAAACTACGAAGCAGAAGATCCATGTGTTATTGCACTTTTACTAGATCCTTGTTTAAACTTAAAAAAAAAAGATATTCATGTTATTCTTATTCAGTAGTTATAAATCTAAGCCTTATGCATCGCCTGGTGTATTTTAATCCACAAACAGCGAGAATGTAGTTCTGTCACATTTCTTCATTGGTAGTTGGTCCCGAGGGGATCCGGGTTAGAGTAGGTCCTCAGTACCCCCTTGCTTGTCGTAAAAGGCGACTAAATGGGGCGGTCCTCTTCGGATGAGACCGTATAAACCGAGGCCCCGTGTCATAAAGATCCCTCCCTGCTCAAAGGCCATAAGTGCCGAGCAAAGGCCTAAATTTGCAGCCCTTCACCGGCAATGGTGACGTCTCCATATCAGTGAAATATTCTGGAGAGGGACGTTAAACAGTATACAATCAATCAATCATTGGTAGTTGTATCTCGATCATAGACGTTTGCAAATGTTGATATTTACATGTAAATTTAAAGTTGTAGCTGATGTATATCTATTTATAATGTTATTCTAGGTATTACAGGTAGATCTACCTTTAATTTTGCTGCTACTTTACATGCATTTTGATATTTATATTATGATATTTTACCAAAACTGTTTCTCTCGATAAGATATGATTGCAATGTTAATGTTGCTGAATCTAAAGGTGTATTTTAAAAAAAAAGAAATATGGAGGTAATGAATAGTATTCAAGCTGAAAACACCATTACAGAAATATAAATAAGGAACAGAGCAAACACAGACGTCTGTAACATCAGAGGTGGGACCAGGTGTAATGGAAAAAGAAGCATCCCCTGTCAAATGGTCACACCCGCCGTGTGCTCCTTGTCATGATCGGGAAATAACGAGAAAGTCAGTAGACAATTTAGTGTGTAAATAATGGTCAAATAATTGGTATGAAACACGTCAATCATTTGACTTGATGATAGAATGTTCATGCTGACAAGGTCGTTGTGTCGAGCGAATGATGACTTTAAATGAGGGTGTTGATATAATTTCCTTGGTTAATTAATTTGTTTGTCAATAGCTCGCCTTGTTTGTATGTGATAATAATAGAGGTATCACACTTTTGTCAGTGTCAAGAAAATTATTTTTATAATTTATAGTGATACAAAGGATCCAAGATGAAGTAAAAAGGAAGTTGCGAGAACAACCTTGCTTTAGAAGAGTGAGAGAGACAGCAGAACAACTGTTCACACTCTCTAATATCATGGAACAGTGTACCGAATAGAAATCGGCATTATTTGTAAACTACGTTGAATTTTAATAGGCATCTGATTCCATTGATATACAGAGGCTTGGTCTATCCTGAAGTTTTGGCATCACAGGTAAACCGGTCATAATGATGAAACTCCTACATTAATCATTCCAATGTACAGTTTTAGAGGATGGAGAAGAATCCGACTGGTTCCGGTTAAAACAGGAGTGAAGCAGGTCTGCACATTATCTGGATTCCTATTTTTGTTGGTTATAGATTTCATAGTTAGAACTACAGGAACAGAACCAACAGGAATTTCACAACAAAATTTGAAAATCTAGACTTCAGAGATGACCTTGCTATGCATTCCTCAAAATTTTGGGCCATCAAAAAAAGACAAAAAACTACTGTGAAATCGCTAATTTTCGTGGTGGTCTAATTTTCGTGGTTTTCGAGGTATGAAGAGACCCACGAATTAATGTCCCCCACGAAATGCTATTTTACACATATTTTACTACTGAACAATTCTTCAACCACAAAATCATATCCCCATGAACCAATATATTTTCCTCAAACCACGAAAATTTGACCCCTCGAAAATATGTGATTTTACAGTAAATGAAATTGCTTGACAAGCTGGACTCAGAATAAACATTTCAAAAACCAAAGTAATGAGACTCATCTCTGACATAATAGACCCAGTCAAGATTGATGGACAAGACCTTAAGGATGTATAAACATTTACTTACCTTGGACGTCTGACAACAACAAAGGGAGAATCTGATGAGGACATAACCAACAGACTTCGATAAACAAAATCCAAATTGGTAAGGCTCAGAAAAATCTGGATCTCATCCAAAATTTTCCATCCCAAGAAAAGTAAAGTTCTTTAACATCTTGGTCCTGCTAGTTCTAATGTATAGAAGTTTTACTTGGAAAACAACGAAACAAGACAAAAGGCAGATTGACACCTTCCAAAATATATGCCAAAATCCTGAGAATAAGATGGTCTGATAAAATATGAAGAACACCATCATAGAATAAAAACAACTGTCTAGAGCGAATGAAATAATAACGCTCGGGAGTGGAATTGGACTGGCCATAAATTTAGGATGGGAACAACAGGATTTGTACTACTGCAATGACGTGGTACCAAGAAGATTCAAGAAAAGAGGAAAATAAGCCGGCCTTAAACAACCTGAAGAACAATGGAACAAGAAAGCATTCAGATTTGATCGAATAGTTGCGTTTCAGCGGGTGCAGCAGCCAAAGACAGAGGCAGGTGAAGGCATTGTATAGGGACAAGTGGTCACGAAGAGGGTAGAGCAAAGGTAGGTGGGGTGAGGTTACAGCGTTTTAGAATTTATTTAGTATGCTCTTGTGTATTGAAACAACTAGGAGACACAAACCCCATTTCAGGACTGGTGATATATAAAAAATCAAAAATATAAACATAAATAAGGAAATTTGACGATAGAAAAATTAAAGTCATCACGTTTATCAAAGTTTTATGGCTAGATTATCATAAACATCTTTCTCTTGTAAAATATCCAAATTTGAAACAGATGTGTCAGACTTTGTGGTATCTTTTATTTCAAGTTCACGGGGATATATCGAGTCGACAAAATTAATAAAGTTTGACATTCTATACAAATACAAGTACATATGTATATATTACATGTATATATTGCAAACTTGCATTCGAGAAACAACTGTATCACATTTAACGATAACATTTCTAGCCACATATCAATTATCAGAGATGAGAAACAAAAATCATAAAAAATGGGAAACACAAAGTTAAAACAAGAGGCTAATGGGCCTCTAACCCCACCTGAGCCACTTTGGTCCAACTGTTCCTCAGCAGATTTATTTTTCCTTAAAAATTGATTTCATTTAATTCTTTTTTTAAAATCTATCCTTAGGGATTTTTAAAAAATCAAAACTGAATCATCTGACATAAATTGTAATAACTTCAATACCAATGTACTAGCAATCAACATGCATTGTGTCCAGCCCTAGCTAGTTCTATTTTAAAAATTGCTTCAACACAACATTGTGCCCTTGACTCAGATGAACTTACAACATACAATAAATCTTTAAATATTAAAAAAGTACCAGGGTATGACAAAATGAAAAACATTTCATTGAAATATTTCTAGCACACTACTGTTTTCTAACATTATTAAGCTAATAAAGTTGACTTCAAACCTTAGCCACAACCGCGGAGATATACGTGTCTCACTGTAAACAACACCTGATTTGGAACTTATCAATAAAGTAATAAAAAGAGTGTTTAAAAATGCGGAACATCTTTAAACATCATTGTTGATTAAGTCTTCAGGACTTCTCTGAATTTTGTCTGAACACATTTTTCAGGTGTAGATTAAGTGTGGGTGATGACGAGTTCTGCCTTGATAAACTTTTAGGTGTCTGTGCCGGTTTTGTGGGCAGTTTATATGCATTCAGGAAGAACTTGTCCCTAGTTTCGTCAGACAAAATTCCCAATATACTGGCCCTTAAGTTTGATATCCAATAAGGAACATAACGATGTTTTGGATTGGCTGATGTAACGGCCTCCTCCATTTGTTGAACGACTTCCCCAACACTACTACGTGCTCGACTCATATGCGTAGAAATGCTTTTACAGAATGCATCGAAGTATTCCTCTCCGTATACCTCCTTGACCTCGGATGGAGTTTCAGCCCATGACTTCCGGTTGGCGTTAATAAGGTAATCCGATTCGACAATGGGCGTCCTAAAGAAAGACGGAATTACATCTGTATTTGATTTCACTGTCTTATGATGTCATATATATAATCAATCTTTGAATAATGTAATTATGGTTAATACCAAGAGCTGATTTAAAAAAAAACACGTTAAAAACTGCTTCACTTTCAGTGCTGTTGAACAAACCTGTACAATCCCGGTTCTATAGTGATGACCTTAACACCAAACTTCGCCATTTCTTGCCGTAATCCATCTGAGAAGGCAATGCAGGCCTTCTTTGACATTGAGTAGGCAGCAAAAGCCGGTACAGTTAGACGACCTACAAAAAAGAATGGCAAAGAAAAAATGAAATAATTTAATGCTGGTAGGCAGGCGAAAATGAACATGTAGGCTCAGAGCAATGAAATATCAAGTATTGGTTGGATTCTCCACGTACCCCTTCTTTCTATTATCAAATAAAACCAAGTTCAACAACTTTGTTGAAAAAGATTGTCAACTGAAACTTCGATCGGGCTATACAGGAAAAGTATTTCCGAGCTGAATTCTGATTCGAACTTTGGACAATGCGATTAACCTCAGATAAAACCATAGGTTTGTTTATAGGTTATTTTATTTCAGTCAGATCATGCATCGAACATGGAGAACATCATCTTCTATTAATACATTTTATTTGTATGGAAATTATACTGAGTTATGTTGCAATTGTTTAAACCTGTGTACTTCTTTGAGTCCAATAAGACCAATTGCAGACGTCGAGCCGTTTAAGGAAAGATATATTGATTAACAGCTATATTTGAATCATTGGACTGCGTCATTGGGAGTTTTTTTTTAAATTTCATATGAGGACTGAATGTTTTCTTTTTCTTACCAGCCAGACTAGCTACGTTAATGACTCGCCCCTCTCCATCGCGAAGAAGCGGCAAAAACGCTTTAGTAACCCGGACAACGCCAATGACGTTGACATCCATTATTTGCTGAAACTGCATAACAGAGCACCATTCTATCTCTTGGAATGTTGCTATTCCAGCGTTGTTGACCAATGACCATAAAACTGTAAAATATAAAAGGTAACTTTAATAGAATTGTAATGAAATCTAATTAATTATGTTTATTCAAAATTAAGGACATATTGTTTTCTTTTAAATACAATTTTCCAAACCTAATTTTTCGAAGTCTCCTGAGTGTATATATATAATATACAATGAAGATAGTGATAATGTTCTTTGTATTAAGAGTGCATTTAGCAATGCCTAATTCATGCTTTGATGTATATCCACTGTCTTTGAAGTACATGTATTTTAGGGAAGAAAGTTTAAAATACAGAATTCACTTTAAAAAAAAAAAGTTTTGCTCAAATCTGTGAAGTTGTCTATTTACATTTCGTTAATCTGACCCTTCTTCGTGCTACAAATATGCAAATCATGTTCCTATATCTTGAACGTTCGTTTATGAATAATTCATTGAAATCTTTTTCCCAGGCCTTGCAGAGGGTTAAAAATGTCATCAATAAACCTGTATGTGTATACAGTTGTTGACAGTGAATATAATTAGTTAACCAAGGAAGAGAATCGTGGAATTTAAAACGTTATGTATAATAAAACGTGTATATATATATATACAAAGTTTAATGAAGATAATTACTCATACATGCTTATTCTGAAATTCTTTTATTGTATTATAAAGGTACAATAATAATTAATAAATATCAAATAAAGTGAATGGCGAATTAAACTTATTTCTTTGAATTCTTAAGCTTAATAGCAAGTAGTTGCAAAAGGAAATTATGCAACCTTAAAACTAAGTGACCAAAACCCATACAATGAGACTTACTCCACTCAAAACGATTTGAATTCATGTTATTCCGAATTATGTAACTCTACCAAGGTCAGTCAATACTGGTAGTACCTTGTAGATATGTGATAGTATGAATGACAAAATTTTATTTCATACAAGAATCCCCTCAAAAGAAAATTTACTACCCTGTAATAAGAAATTTGACCTAAATGTGTATTCAGTTTATGGTTGTAGGGCCTGGAGTAGTATACAACCTTTCAGATTGACTATAGATAAATTAACATTGTTCATTGGTCTACTTACTTTTCCTTCAAGTCGCTGTTAGCTGTAGATTTGAAAGATTGAAGTTTAATTAAATTTGTGTGGTTTTGTGTCGATTATTGTATATGGTATTGTCCATTTTTACATTTTCTAGTAAATATGTTTATGATATAGGTTGCATCATAAACAAACTTACCTTTCCCGTTGAGATTTTCTTTGACGGTCTGCACGGCTTTTTGCACTTGCCAATCATCCGTGACGTCCAGTTGCACTACTTGTATGTTACTGGAACTTTCTTTCAAACTCCGTGCACCCTCACGATCCGAAAACAAACAACCAGCAAAAACAGTGAATCCTCTTTTGGCTAAATTCAGAGCCAAACTGTGGCCGAAACCACTGTCACAACCTTACAAGAATAAAGAAAACACTTCAACGTTCTATTCAGTTTATATCATGTGCCCTTACAAGTAAATTAATATTAAACACACATATTCATGAAATTTATTTTGAAAATTAATTTTACTGTATTGTACTTGAAAAATATGTAATTTTTTTTAATTGAATAAGATCTTACAAGTTTTTTTTAAAAACAATATTCTTTGCTGGAATGAAACCTTTCAACCCTTATCAGAACAAGGATTTGTAACCGCAAAATCTTTAAACGTGTTAGAATTTGGTTTTTGCAGATAAATATGAAATCCTATCATGGGGATAAAGGAATTTATAAAATACCTTTAGATATGTGATCTTCATATAAACAAACAATTTTTGGCAAGTATGCATATGAGAAAATAGATAAATAAAAAGATCAGATTCGTTATAAATTGTTTTAAATATTAACTCAAAATGAATATTTACCTGTGATTATAACAGCCTTGTCCTGCGGTGAGACGGTACCTGAAGACACGGGTATGAAAACGAAAGCCAACCCTAAACAAAGTACACATAACAAACTGCCAGTGGACAAGTTCTCTTGAAGGAAAACAACTAAAGGAAAACACAATCTAGCAAGTAGAAGAAAAGCAACCACAGCTGAGATATAATATCCAAGCTTTCGTGTGGTCGACATTTCTAGTCTTCCAATGCTATCAGTGCGTCTTCACGACAGTCCAAAGTGCACGTTTGTGGTGTCTTTTCACGAATAAGAAAAGCCCTGTTATTTGAGATCCCTACGGATTTCGATTAATCAAGTACACAGTGTCCAAAACATTTACAACTGTTCGGACAATCGTTCCAGATTTACACCTCCAATAACTTCCGCCTTAGATATTTAATTTACGGATTATGCAATGAATTTTCAATATATTAAGCTATGGAAAAGTGCGTCCATAAAGAAAGCCCTCTGTTAAGTGACATAATTTATTCCACTTCAATGAATGATAAAAACAGGTCATGGATTTAAATTGCTGATTGGAGTCTTAAATTTCTCAAGTACGAGGGACTAAGAGTACAACATTCATTTGTATGTGTTGATAAACATGTAAACCGTAATTCCACGTAATTCAACGATTTTAGAATAATATAGAGGCTCCAAATAAAAAAAAGGAATATACATGTATTTTTTTTTAAATACCTTCATATACTAATTCATTTTCATACTATTTTCAGGGGGTAAACAATGAAAAGCATTATTATGTAGTATTATAACCTTGGAAAAGCATAGATCTGCATGTTTAGTTAGGTTTTGCATGAAAAGAAATAAAATAGAATGTTTATGTCTGATTGTTTAACACCCCTTTCGATAATTTTTCATTCATATAGAGAGGGCACCATTTGCCAGCGAAGTTTGCAAATGAATATCTCACTCGGCAAGAATAATTTTTAATTCATATAGAAAAGGCATCATTTGCTAACGAAGTTTGCAAATGAATATCTTACTCGGCAATCAGGGCCATTGAGCAGTGAGGGATCTTTTTTTTCGCGCCAGGACCTACTGCAACATAGGTACCTCGGTTTATATTGTCTCTTCCGAAGGACCAGTCTCTGTGTTCCGTTATTGGATTCGAACCCACGACGTAATCAAGGATCAATTTATTATACACCGCAAATCTTTAGCAAACGCTCTGACCACTGCACCACACTGGCGACAAAATGAAATGAAGTTTTAAAAACGCTGTCTTATTCATCAAAGCAATCTGCATAGAACTAGTATTTTTCTTTCAGAGTATGGTATTTTGCTGATCAAACCCTCGATAATGATATGACTTCAACTTCTGATATCCGCCCTTGTGCTCGTCTGCTTATTTCTAGTATCCAAAAGATGTTCCAGAACATTTTTGATGATTTAATCTTCAACAGCACATAGTGAACAGGGTGGATAGTGTCTTCCCACAAATTTTTATTAAAATAGAAAATTTGGTGTCATGAATTTTCTATTTTAATAAAAATTTGTGGGAAGACAATAGGGGTGCAGATTTTGGTTGCCAATCTATATCACTATTAATCATGGCACCAAATACAGATCATCTTAATGAGACTACAGCCAGTATGATGTTCCGTCGTCTCCTCAAGTCTTAGAGCCGTTGTTTACTTCACATCTCAGATCTTTGCAGTCTTTGAAAAAGCTTTTGCACAAAAAAATTTAATTCAACAGAAAACTGCCCAATACTTCATTAATGATACCGACAGTCTTTAGTAGACAAATGGTCTTAAACTGTCCTATTGTTTCAGAGTCTCTCTTTGAAGGCAATGACTCCTAGTATCTTTCTGCTTCTCACAAATAAGATGAAAAAGTTCCTTTTGGCTAAAGCACTTAGAAACTGATCCTTCTCTGCTCACTCCTCCATGACACTGATCCCACCTCTGATGTTTTGGAGGTCCGTGTTTGCTCTGCACCTATTTTTTATTGCTTTGTGGACTTTTGGTCTTGCATACTGTTCGTTATTTTCATATGTTTCTCTTTAGCACTTCTGGTATTTCTTGTACGGTTTGATGGAATTTTACCCAACCCTGGTGCTGATCCTGATCTTGCGTTTATTTCATTTTTACCCCCTTTCATGTTGGCTCCCTCACATCAATTAATGGATGTGGATGTCTACGAGTATGCTTATCTCCTTTGGACTCTTGGCTTTCTTTCTGGACCCGCTTTTGTCGTACACAATTATACCTTACTTCTTACTAACTTCTTCCTTGAAACAGTGGAGGTTCCTCGGCCTTTCCTGAGGGTCCTCTGGTAATAGAAATGGAACAATGAAAAAGCTGTGCTCTACTTTTTCCCTTTCCTTCAGTAGACTGTTATCCCTACCTTCTCCTAGCGACTTGCTCTTTTGGATTGCCTAGCTGTCCAACTCATTCAACTCCAAAATCCCCATTTCCCGTATTTAAGGATTCTTTTTGTAGACTTTTGAAAGGTCTCTTATTCTCTTGATCCATATTATCAACATGCTCTCTATTTTTTTCCTGCTGTCACCTTTTCCGCCACCTAATGCGGATCGTTTCCTCGCAATCTCTAAGCTAGTTGTTTCTATAACATTTGCTTAACTGGAATCCTTGGGTATTAGTCCTCTTGCATTCTTGTAGTTCCTTTTGCGTTGTTTTATTGAGTTTGGTTGGATTTAGTTACTGACTGGCCCTTCCATTTCCCCATAGCAGATGCAGTTTTTAAATTCTCGAGAATATATATAACACTAATTCGAAGCAAATTACAAAAAAATTTCCAGTACATGTTTCTTGTTAAGTCCCAAATAGTTCATTCAATAAAGGTATCGTGCCCTTTTGAATGTCTGCATCTGTGTTTACTTTGTCTAAGCGTTTTTAACCAGTTTTAAGGCTCCTAAATCAACTTTTGTTCTGTGAAATGTGGAGAGAACGAACATTATTCAGCTTGAAGGTAGAAAGGCCACTGAAACAATACAAACAGGGAGCGGAGCAAACACGGACCTCTAAAAACAATTGAGTTGGGATCAGGTGCCTTGAAGGAGATAGGGTCCACAGTCGAACTGTCACATCTGGCATGTGTTCCTTATAAAGACTGGGTCACCAGAAAAATCTGTAGACAATCAAGTGTGTAAATAATTGCCGCTGACAATACGTATCAAAAAACGCCAGTTAGCAGTTGACGATAGATTGTATTTCCCGAAAAGGTCGACATATCGATATAAAACCTGCGAAATGTTGACTTTAAACGAGACGGTTGGTATCTTTATTTCATCAACTTGTATGTCAAATGCCTGTATCATTTAAGAAATTTTTTCGTTCATAGAACAGGTCCCTTGCATATCGAATCAATTGGGAAATATAAACCATATGCTCACAACAAAACATTGAAATTTATTTTTTTTCTTCGAGAATTTTGATCCATGATTAAAAGTTCCCTATGTCTCTGTGCTCACCACCACCATTGCCAATCCACATCATTACAAAAGAAAAGCACTTTCATGAGACATACTAAAGAAGTTGTCAATTACTCAGTTCGTAAGTTTCACGGTAATATACTGGAAGGAAAAAGAAACGCAGGGTAAACTTTTGAGGTGAATTAAATTTGTTTTTCTTAAAATACTTTTTCCTATCTAATTTTTAAAATCATCTTTCAAAAAGATATAACCAAATTCTCATATGATTTTGTGTAATTATTCATGAGTTATTGAAGCTCAAATGATGATACCCCCCAAAAGGGAAAATCGAGAACTCTCATTATCTTCAATGTCCATCTCTTGCATCTGTCAGAGTCTTATTTCTCCTTTGCATGCGCATGCGCCAGTAAGAGGAATACAACAGTAAGTTGACTGGCTCAAAAAACAAAATTGCGGAATTGTTTTCTTTTAAATTTCGTATGAATGTAATGATTATAATCGTGTACACCGTAAATGGCTGTTTTTGTGGTAGTAAGGTGGCGATTTAAGAGATGGCAGGACGAATAACCCACTCGTAACATGGCTCTGTTTCGCGTTAACGTCATCGTCACGGTTGATTGAAATCCACTCCAGACCCTCTCTGACAACGGCTAAAAAGTTTTTTGGGGGAAAATTTACAAGGGACTGCTTAGTAAACCGTTGTTGCCTTTTTCATTAATTAGGCAATTCGAAAACAAGACCCCATTCAACTTCCGTAAACTGTGCCAAGATTGCAATAAATTCATAATGTCTCTTAATATTGAATAACGATGTGCATACCTCATATGTATGGCATGCCAAATTCACAAAAATGAGATAAACCTAGTTTCACATTTGATAAACTAGGTTTATCGACTGTAAACTATAGTTTACAAACCGTAAACTATAGTTAACGATTCGTTAAGTATAGTTTTCATCTGTAAAACTATATTTAACGGTTGTTAACTATAGTTTACGAATGATAATCTAAGTTTATCTGTCTGTAATAAGCGTTAACAATAGATTTTGTTGATAAACATAGATTCACGTTCGTAAACTATAGTTTACAATCGTAAACTATAGTTAAGAGTTGTGAATCATAGTTTCACAAATCGTGAAACTATATTTATCAAATAGTGAACTATAGTTAACGGTTTGTAAACTATAGTTTACAAATCGTGAAACTGTATTTATCAGATAATCTATGTTTTGCAATCGCAAATGATTGTTTTCAGTGTTAAGTATAGTTTACGGTTGTGAAACATAGATTATCGCGTTAACTATGGTTTACGGATGTAAAATATAGATTAACGTTGTTAACTATAGTTTACAGTCCGTAAACTATAGTTTACAACCGATAAACCTAGTTTATCGACTGTGAAACTATGTTTAGCTCATTTTTGTGAATTTGGCGTGCCATACATATGCATCAAATAATGCAACAAGATTTGTGGACAAACACGTCCTTATCAAATTGCACGTGTTTTGGGCTTTTTAGCGTTTTCCCTACGTGACGTCATAAATTTTAAGGTTGAGTAATTCTGATTTTGATGTACAACAACTAAATTTTCCATCTGACCAATTTTCGTAATTTTCGGTCATGTGGTCAAATTTTTATCGACAATTATGCTACCCTGCGTTTCTCTTTCCTTTCAGTATATTAAAAACATCATATTGAAACGAAACATTTTTCTTCAAAATTAATACTATGCAATTCATAATTTATATTATTTTAACTATGTGTATAATTCTATGATTAATCTAGGAATTTTGTGTGTGTGTGTGGGGGGGGGGGTCTTTTCTTTTCTTTTTTTTTTTTTTAGTTTTTTGTTTTAAAGTAAGTCTTACTTATCAAGTATAATGCTTTCCAGTTTAATTTTAATCAAAATGTAATAAAATGAATTATAAAAAATGTGAAGAAATGTACAGTATATATACTTCTTGCACTTTGTTTGCTATTGAAACTTTTTCTTTACGAGGAACTCTGTTTTCTATGATAGTATTTTTATGTATCTGGTACCGTATGAGCGATACATTTCTTATTTCGGCCTATACAACATTGCATTAAAGACTTGCTCAAAAATGTCCATAAAACGAGCAAAGTTCTGTAACTCTCAATATTTTATA